TGACGCATCTCGCATATCATAAAATAGCTCAATATTATTAGCTGTTAACTATCTAGCGCTTCTCGCTTTACATTTATCGTAGTTTCTACCTTTTGCACTTTTCTCTTAAGCGGCTAGCGCATCAATGCTAGCAACGCCGCAATTCATCCATGTCAAGTACGTTCGTTATATCGGATTCCTTATAGATCGCTTCGTTAAAAAGTTAACATATCGCATAATTTCAATACGCTCGCTATAAGCATATAAGTAAATCAAACTTTTGCATGAATTTATAAGAAAAAGCCGTATTTTTAAAACACCCTAAGCTTCTCGCTATTAAGTGCTATTAAAGGGCTTGTTAGTTCAACAGAATCGATCTTTATATAAAACCTTTTGTCCCGACTGACTGATTGTTGAGCAATTTACATCCCAACCCGTACAAGCTGGGAAGAAATGTTCACTGTAGTATTTTACTGTAGTTATTATTACACCCACCATTATTGAAGAATCGTGAATAGCGTTTGTATGTACATTTTTTGCTTACCAGCCTCTATCTAATTTTTAAAGATCTCTGTTCAAACTAATGTGTGGTTTTAAAAATTCCCTTTAAAACTGTGGTAAATTAACGGATTACGGTTGTAAAAAAGTTTTTAGTTTACTCTCCGTTCGCCCTCTATTGAAATGTACACAATTAAATAAAACACTTTGTTTGGTTTAGTTGATTTCAATATTTATTAATTTACTTTTCTGGGCACGTTAACTTGTTTCGCTCTCTAAGGTTCAGAGAAGAGTGAGTCTAAACTATAAAAGCATTCACCAAAACTGAAAATAACAAAAGCCTACTTGGTCATTGTACCTTTTGTATGAATGAGTGTTTGTGTGTATTTAAACACTCATTATTCCAACACCCTCAAAATTATTTGTAAAGTGTCTTGTTATATTTTATTTCGTATGATATTACCGTTATCGCCGTTTTCGGATTAAAGAAGGGTAACATAGGCAGAAAACTTTGATTAGATCTTATAGTTTAATATAAAGTGGACTTTAAACATATTTTCAAGTTGAAGTGAAGTTCAAGACCGTATAGGTAGAATTATTTAACTACGAAACTTGCATTGGCAAGGCCGGATAATACCCGCTAGTAAAAAACTTGTTCTGACACGGCTTAAAAATGTTTAACAAAACATCTGTTTGAGAACGGTTATAAAAAACATCAAAAAGAACAGAAAAATTATATTGATTAGCCGGCGGTTCTCTCGGGCAAAATTCTAATGGACATGACAATCTTGGTGTTTACAATTGAATTTCCAATGAATTGGAAATAAGTAGATTACATGTGGGTATGGTGAATGTAAGATCTCGCGGTGGCCATTAGAGTGGAATTGAAGTTGTTGAGAATTACACTAACATTTTCAATATTAGTTACATCTCCAGCATTATTTATTTGTCGCTATTAATTTTTCTATAAGCCTGTATATAAAATCAAAATAGGATTTTTGTATGGGTTTAATGATTACAGCGCGCGACAAAGTCACGTCAGGAAAAACTGGTAATATAAAGTACTATTATGTTATTGTTACGGGTCGAATTAAGTAATAGACTGTTTAGTATATAGTATATTCTGAAAGTACCGGCACATTGTATTTGGCTTGTTGCCGCCATTACTTAAATGTTAAGCTCATTATTGTCGTGAGTTCGAAGGCCGTAGGAGGAAAGATTGCAGCAAGATTCTGAGAGAATATATATATAAAAGTTCTAACCTATGTAATCCGTTCAGAATAAAACACTTGTACTAGTACGTTTTGCATTACGCTATCTCTATTAACATCGGAGTAACAAGGCGTAAACCTTTCATTGTATAAAATACAACTCCACCTTCGTTAGGCACGCGATAGTTATTGTATAATATATTACCCAAGATTTGGAGGAATTTTAAAATTTTAAATAAAAACAAGGGGCTCTAGTCGGGAGTTCCCGACTAACCAAATGCAGCTCGGGCTACGCGCTAATTTGCTTTAGCAGCAATAATCATATATTTTTAAAGAAATAGTTCCTTCGGTATGGTTCGAGATCGCAACAAACCACACTACTTGCCGGAGGCGGTGGCGAGTCAACAGTCACACCAATAATTGAGTCTCAATAAACGAGAAAGAAAGGCTATTATCGGCACGCCGAAGATCTTATACCCCTGCAGACCCAACCTTTTTATAATGCTTATAGTGCATTGGCCGTATCTAAGATAAGCAAAATGTTTTTTATACAACAACTTAATTTTCGACCGATCATTCCTATGGCAGATATATGATATAGTAGTCCGATGTAAATAAAATTTTGCAAAAATGAAGGGTGCATAGTGAAATCCTTAAATGCCGTGCTTAATCAAAATATCTAGAATGACATACATCTTAATTTACGACCGATCGTTCATATAGCAGCTATGTGATATAGTGTACCGATCATAATAGGATTTCGCATTTTTATGAGGAGCATAGTAAAATTAATAAGCGCCGATTTTGGTCAAGATATCTTGCTAAAAAAAAATATTTTTCATACAACTTAATTTTCGATCGATCGTTCCTATGGCAGCTACATGATATAGTGATCCGATCTAAATATTTTTTTGCATATATAAGATAAACAAAGTAAAACTAATAAATGTCGGGTTTGGTCAAGATATCGTGATAAACAACATTTCTTTTCATACAACTTAATTTTCGACCGATCGTTCCATGACAGATATATGATATAGAGGTCCGATCTTAATAGGATTTTGCATATACATATATGGGGAGTAAAACTTATAAATGCCGAGTATGGTTAGAAATCTTGACAAGCAAAATGTTTTTTATACATCAACTTAATTTTCGACCGATCGTTCCTATGGCAGCTTTGATATATTGGTCAGGTCCATTGGTTTGACATGTGTGCTGCGTGCAACAGAAAAAGGGACTTCTGCAAAGTTTCAGTAAGATAGCTTTAAAACTAAGAGACCAGTTCGCCTAGAAGCAGATAGACGGACATGACTATATCAACTCGGCTGTTGATGCTGATCAAGATACGTTATGGGTTCGGAGATGTCTCCTTCTATGGGTTACACATTTCACACCAAAAACCTTCTGCAAGGGTAAAAAGGAACTTAAAAAGCAGCACCGAAAATAATACAATCGCAATTACAATGCTGTTAATGGAATTCAATAAAGACGCGCATGAATATGACTGTATGTATATGTCGATAGTTCCTTCTGCCTGTTAAATACATTTGCTTAAATCATTATACCCTTTTACCCTTTTTCAATGGGTTCAGGGTATAACCAAAGACAATATAAACACTAAGATGAGTAATGTCCATACATTTGAATGCGACGCAAAATTTCTGGCCTGGCCTTTCATCTGGCCTTTGAGGCTTCGTACGGCATGCCTGCCGACTGGTTGTTCGTTCTCCAAAGACCAGACGAACGAATGCCGAAGTCGTGGCTTGCTGATGCTGACATGAGCTACGAAGTTAGTCGCCAGCCTGCCTTCAGCAAAGCTGAGCGAAAAGGTTTAGAACTTACGATCGACGCAAAGTGCTTGTGCTTTATCCATGAAATGCATGCTTTATTTAAATTATATATTACCCTAGATATTAACCAATAATTTTACAGGAAAGTTTAAGAACTTATATAATTTTTACACAAGGCGCTTCTTGCGCAATAACTATGTTAAGAAAATAGCACACATAGATTGATTTCACTTTTCTTTTTGGACAGTGTATGCTTGAGAAAAGTTCTTGTCTCAGCCAATAGCATGCGTGCACCTTTCGTTGTATGCGTGAATTATACATGCATAAGAACTTTAAAGTATGTATGTATGTGTTGTTATTCACTGCTTTGGCTTTAGCTGGCAAGAAATTAATTTTGTTAGTTTTCTAGCGCAGATCATGAGCTATCCCAAATTTGTGTTGAAATATGAATGCATTTTGTGTACTGAGGTTGGCTCCGCAGAAAATACCCGAAGGTCATATTTAGTAATGACCCCATTTTAATTATAATGGTCTCCTCGCGGTGTTCCCTGCGTAATTTGTTCTTTATAATTCGAACAACAAAAATAATAAAATAAAAAAAAAATAATGTAATGTATCTTTGAAAAAATAATAATTTAATTAATAATTTCAAATATAAACAAGTACTCTTACTTGTTCTAGTCGGAAGCTCCCGATTATACCCTGAACCCTCTTCTTCCAACATCAAATGCATATATATATTCTATTTTAGAAGCTATATGTCAAGTTTGGTGACTCTAGCTCTTATTATTTACCAAAATTGCCCAAAAAACAAGATATCGATATCGATTTTTATCGATTGCTTGGAAACGGAGTAAGTTATCGATTATCGGAAACAAACTCGATCTGCGCGGGAACTAGGAGCATCTAAATCTATAATTTTAAGTCTCCAGCTCTTATAGGTTCTGAGATCCTTGCGTTCATACATACGGACGGACGGACGGACAGACAGACGGACATGGCTAGATTGACTCGGCTATTATTGCTGATCAAGAAAATATATACTTTATGGGGTCGGAGATACTTCCTGTTGCCTGTTACATACATTTGGATTTTGCACAAATACAATATACCCTTATACCCATTTTTAATGGGTTCAGGGTATAAAAATTACATAAATATTTGCATCGACTTAAAAATACAAGTTTTTTTGTACGGAGTACACAAAATGCATTCATATATCAACAGAAATTTTGGGTAGGTCGTGATCTGCTCTAAAAAACTAAGAAAATTGTTTCTTTGCCAGCCAGAGACTTTGTCAGAGCAGTGGATAACAACACATCCAAATATGCTGTTATGTATGTATATTCACACGCATACAAATATAATTGCTTGCACGGCCCTCATAGAGCCGAAGCTGAAAGCAAATTCTATTTTTAGCTTTTTCGTTCTCTCGGCTGTGAGAGCGCAATGCTATTGATTTCGTTTTCGTTCTAAATTTTCAAAAAATCAAGCTGCATAGTAGCATTTTGTTGTATGGCGTTACTCATCTTAGTGTTTATATTGTCTTTGGTATAACAATAATAAATCGAATCGAATCGTCAATTGCTTACTGTATGAATACATGAGTATGTATCTGTATGTGTCCGCATAAATATAAAAAAATCGTGTGCAAATTTTTTCAAGATCTGCCCTGTAGTTTTGATGGCGTCTGATGGATCACCATTCGTTAGGTAATTGGTCAACGGAAAGTCATGCGAAGACCCCCAGATGAAAAAGATAACTACTAACAATGCATTACTAGTCGTTAGGAAATTCGCTAGCGTATGACCATGCTACGAATGCAGAACAAAGCGGTTCTATGATTCGTCCAAAAATTTACCAATTTTGCAGTACAAAACTGTACAGGCAACAAGGTCATTGAGTTTTCATTTTACAGTCCATATCAAAGGCTGTATGCTGCCATATCGATATCCAGAAGACCAGCTTTAAAAATCATTGCAGCTTCTAATTTTACGGTTATTAGTTTATAATTTAATGCCTAGTAAGGTATTTTTTAAAATAAAATTATAATTTGTTGTGGATAAGTATGAGTGTTCTTTACACTGACGAAAGAGAAAACCCTTTTGCACCAGCTTCATCGCTAGCGCCTTTGCACCAGCATCGCTAAGTAAAAAGTGCTGGCAAAAGAGCAAACCATTTTATATCAGATTAATTGCTTACATCTTTGCTCAACCACAATCGCTAAGTTAATTGGACTGGAAATCAACCCTCTTGCACCAGGCAAATCGCTAGGTCTACGTTAAACAGCGTCGTACCGCTCGGTTAGCGGCAATGACATCCCCATGTTAAATTCGTTAGTCTAACGAATTGGCCACGGTTTGGGACCAGTATCCTAAAGAGGCATCAAACTCGTTAACGATACACCGGTGGATCCGAACCACAGGGTGTGTTCCTAAAGAGATCTTAATGAAATATTCTAACATATACATGTAAATTCGCAAATGCGACTGTAGTTAAAGTTGCTTGACTTGTATATACTATGCGAAAAGCAAAATTTGGTGACTCTAAATCCATTAACCGAGATAAGCGCTATTTTTATATCGTTTTTTATCGACTACATGAAATGCGGAAACTTAACAATATGATCTGTGCCAGCAATAGGCGGACCAACGTTTCAAGTTTCAATGCTATATCTTTACAATTACCTGTTAATATACACTATTTCCACTTATGATTTATCTGCGACAGCAATAGTGGTGGAGAAAGGAAACAAGAAATGTTCCGTTTGCTATTTTGACAAATGAAAGTCAAACACTGAAAAGTACCAACTTGCAGCACAAGTTTTCCAAAAAACTTTTTTCATTTCGCGGGAATCTTGAGAAATATGATGGAAAGAGTATTACAAACAAAGATGATATTTTATTTTAATGATAGCGCTTTACTTCATGGGTAAAAGTTTATTTTAGATTTACGTATAAAATGTAGCATTCTGAAAATCTTACTCTAAAATAGCCAAATCAATTTTAAAGCCATTAAAATACGGATGCTCCAATATATCCTTGGCTGAAATTCTATGTACTGGGTCATAAATAAGCATTCTTTGAATAAGGTCGACACCGTTTGCATCAAGATTTTTCAGCTGGTTGGTTAACTGATTTGTCGACCAACAAGGAAATGTATTTTTGTAATCGGGAAGTGAAGTTACGCCCGGCCAAATGTCTTCTGTGGGTGTTTTGAGTATTCTACAAATAAAATTAAAAGGTGTTTTAATATTGTTCACTTTAGAAACTTATAATTCATAAATGTTGTCAAAAAACTAAATAAACAACTTCTACACAAAACTTTTCCGCGCATTTACCACTGTTGCGGATGTTTGAATCGATTATTGAATCGTTAAAACACTTATTCAATAATTTTTTTGGTATAAATTTAAATATAATTTTAAAGCAATTCGAGCAAATTTAAAACACCCACTTCCACCAAGAAAGGATGAATTTTCCAAAAAGTGCGTAAAACCACTCAAATGAATTTGAGCAAAGATCGAAAACGAGTACGAGGCCGTTCCGATGGATAACAAAAAAGTTTCAAACCAACGTTTTTCGCTAAATAACCACTGTTGTGGGTGTAAATTCCCAAATCGCTGAAACACGTATTCATTAAGTTCTTATGTAGAGCTCTGAAAATGAGTTTCAGGTTAATCGGACAAAACATTAAACTATAACAAAAATAATCTTAGAATCGCATTTCTACAGAGGATGCTTTTATTTTGTGAAAAATGTGAAACATGTCTCAAAAGATTTTTTATATAGATATAGATCATCAACCAAATTCTTGACCCCCATTTCGACCAAGGATTAATACATTTTTGAAAAATTGTGAAACACCCTTCAAATGAATTTGAACAAAAAACTTTGAAATTTAGTTTGCTGCCGATCGGACGGTAAACAAAAAAGTTTCATACAGACGTTTTTCGTGATTTTTCCTTACTTGCGGGCGGAATTTCCTGAAACCCCGTCTTAACGTGCACCTTCATGACATAAGGTAACAACAGAGAAAATTTCAGGTTACTAGTTATTACGGTATGGGCTGGGCGTTAATCACCAATCAGTGGAGTTTCGAGTGTAAAATCATTTGCGAAGTTCTTTAAAAAATGTAATTCACACTTTTATAGAATGCAGAACGCTTCAATGGGAAATGCAAGTCAAATGTTGTAAGGACGATGTTTTAAGATGTGCTCGATTGACTTCAAACTTATTTTCAAGGCTCTACATAAAAACTTAATTAATATTTCATCGATTTTGGAAGTTCCCATTAAAACTGAAGACAATTGGGGGGCATTTTTAAATTTTTTATTTACCATTGGATTATAGATTTAATTTGAGGTCATGGACTTAATTAGAGAAATATTATTATCATAAGAAGGTGAAAGCCGCTTATTTCAACATTTGGTTCTTTATTCGATGGACCTTAAGCCTATTTTGAACTAGAAGTTTAGATTAATATGGTACGGGTAGATTTTAATTCTCCACGAGCGGGAACTGCGTGTAGAGTAATATGTTAAATTTTTACCACCTGCTGGTTTAGTTATATACTTATACTTTCAAAAAATTATTAATGCTTTTATATCAATGCCAAGTTATTGAAAGAAACTATTATTTATATAGATATCTGGTACCTAGTATCACTAGGTTCCTATGAACATCGAACGAAAATGTATGCTGTTGTGGAGGGTATTATAACCTCCAACCTCATAAAGTGTATATATTATAACAAAGCATAAACTGCCGAGTTGAAATATCCGTCTATCTGTTTTTATCCGAGCTAATGCCTGTTTTCATTTTTGGTTCTTAATCTTAATGGACTTTAAACTTTCTTAAATCATGTAAAATATAACAAGACGCTGACTTCAAGATTGTATGTGCAAATTAAAGTGCTCGCTGGTTATAATCTGTGGTAAAAGAACTGATTGCGTTGAAACTGAGATCTGGAAAAAAGACACGAGCTTGTGACTTCAACTCACAGGCTTAGTACAGCCGTAGCACAATTGCGGATAGACAACTAGGTTTTCTATTTGTCAGTGGCAAGGTTAAAGAATTTTGAGTATAAGCATGTAAGCGAAACTACATCTTCAATACATATTTTTACAAAGAAAAAGTTTCAATCAACTAAAACAAGATCATTACAAGAATTTTTGCACACATCGTTATTATATATTAAATATTTTAAAAAAATTTCACTTACCTGAACATTCGGAATAATTGATCAATTTCCGAATCACCTTGAAATAATGGTTTCCGTGTAGCCATTTCTGCAAAAATGCACCCAATGGACCAGATGTCAACTGGGCAAGAGTATCTTGGAGAGCCCAATAATACTTCTGGAGCCCGATACCACAGAGTAACTATTTCATGAGTATAAATGCGTACTGGTATACCAAAAGACCTGCCGAGTCCAAAATCTGCAACTTTAATAATACCATTTTTATCAATAAGAAGATTTTGCGGTTTTAAATCACGGTGAAGGACCCGGCGTCGATGACAAAATAAAATAGCATTTGTTATTTGATACAAGTAGCTCCTAACTAGTTGGCTATCCAGATGCTTTTCCGGTGGTAAGGAATCCATATACTTTTTAAGGTCCATAGATAAAAATTCAAATATTAGGTATATACGGTTTTCCTCCATTAACACATCTTCTAAGCATACAATATTTGGATGCTTTAATTCTTTCAATAATGAAATTTCTCTATAAGAAAATGTGGAGGTCCTTGTATTTAGTCGAAAATAATTCGAGCGATCTATAAACATTTATTTACGTACCTTATCGCAGTAGATGGCACACCCTCGTCATCAGACTCCAATCGAATTTTTTTCATGGCGACAATTTGACCAGTTAAACGGTTGCGGCCCTTATAAACAACGCCATAAGTACCTTCTCCAATCTTTTCAATTTTTTCGAAGTCTTCCATTTTACTCCCGGGTAGTTTCAGAAAAAATGCCGGTTTTTTTTTTAAGGTTGCCACAGTTTTTAGAATACCACGGTAGCTTATTAAATATATTTATGAAAATTTCAATCGATATATTTATAAGCACCGATATTGAAACACTGAAAATAAACATACACTATTACCACTAACCATACAATGTATAGACATACCAAATGGGAATTTTAATCGAAACAAGAAAAATCGAAACGAGGCGACCCCAATGGTACCTGCGACCATTTTAGTGTGCCCAGACAGAGTAAGACTGCTGAGGGTGGCAGCCGAACGCCGGCCTCAAAAGCCGAACGTTCAGTATGAAGCCGCATCTCGCTAAGCGCACAACGTCACGGCTGATGCGTTTTCTTAATATATGTATGTATGCCATTTTTAAATCCTTACAGCCCAAAAACATATATGTGTATGCATGTGCCTCGCTCTCACTCACTTGCATCGCGCACTTGCATCCCTTTCTCTCTGCATAGCTTCCCACAAAACCCTGAGATCTAAAAACATTCATACTTTTGTGTTGTGTGGATGTGTGCACAAGTAGATCGCGGCGTTTGTCGCGAGCCAGAGGGTATTTCTTCAATTGTGTGCCTTTTGTGCCTGTGGTAGCAATAGGCCTTCACATATAAATGCTCTATCATGTATTTCTTCGTCCAGTCAGGCATGATGAAAAGAATTTGATCAAATTTTGTTTAATACACAATTAATTGACCTAAATAAAATATTTATGTTTATTTTCTGTTTACTGTAGGGACCTATTTTGCTTAAAATACAAAAATATCTAAGTCGTATTTCTGCACGGGTGATTCATCGTCGGCTTGTCAAAGAATTTAAGAAAAGACCAAAAATTGACGCACACTCTTTCAAGTAAGCAGTTGTGTGAAATTATTAAAGGGCATTTGTGAATTTCGAACTCTACACACACACATATACACACGCACACGAATGTGTGCGCATGAGCTGATCAACGATTTGTCGTGAGGCAGAGATATTTTTATCAATGGGTGCGTGTGGATGTGTGCACAAGTAGATCGCGGCGTTTGTCGCGAGCCAGAGGGTATTTCTTCAATTGTGTGCCTTTTGTGCCTGTGGTAGCAATAGGCCTTCACATATAAATGCTCTATCATGTATTTCTTCGTCCAGTCAGGCATGATGAAAAGAATTTGATCAAATTTTGTTTAATACACAATTAATTGACCTAAATAAAATATTTATGTTTATTTTCTGTTTACTGTAGGGACCTATTTTGCTTAAAATACAAAAATATCTAAGTCGTATTTCTGCACGGGTGATTCATCGTCGGCTTGTCAAAGAATTTAAGAAAAGACCAAAAATTGACGCACACTCTTTCAAGTAAGCAGTTGTGTGAAATTATTAAAGGGCATTTGTGAATTTCGAACTCTACACACACACATATACACACGCACACGAATGTGTGCGCATGAGCTGATCAACGATTTGTCGTGAGGCAGAGATATTTTTATCAATGGGTGCGTGTGGATGTGTGCACAAGTAGATCGCGGCGTTTGTCGCGAGCCAGAGGGTATTTCTTCAATTGTGTGCCTTTTGTGCCTGTGGTAGCAATAGACCTTCACATATAAATGCTCTATCATGTATTTCTTCGTCCAGTCAGGCATGATGAAAAGAATTTGATCAAATTTTGTTTAATACACAATTAATTGACCTAAATAAAATATTTATGTTTATTTTCTGGTTACTGTAGGGACCTATTTTGCTTAAAATACAAAAATATCTAAGTCGTATTTCTGCACGGGTGATTCATCGTCGGCTTGTCAAAGAATTTAAGAAAAGACCAAAAATTGACGCACACTCTTTCAAGTAAGCAGTTGTGTGAAATTATTAAAGGGTATTTGTAAATTTTGAACTCTACACACACACATATACACACGCACACGAGTGTGTGCGCATGAGCTGATCAACGATTTGTCGTGAGGCAGAGATATTTTTATCAATGGGTGCGTAAATTTGGGCGACTGTCACGGTCTTTGTTTTTTTGGCATGCCTGCGGTGGGCTTGCAGCCGCAAAATCACAAATGTATAAAAAGGCAATGAAAATAGTATGCATCCTGACGCATGCTATACATTTTGATCGTTAATTGCCTGTCATAAAACCCTTTAACCTAAGATTATAATAATGCCAATAAAAGATTACTTGCATTTGTTCTATATCAAAGTGCAAACGAGCGACAAGTGCGATTCACCTGTTTCATTCAAGCCCACCGCAGGCAGGCCAAAAAACAAAGACCGTGCCATATAATATAATAAAATAATTTTACGCAAACGCGGCAGATATTATTAACAGCTTGGCGGCTATAGGACTGAAGTGAATTAACTATTTGGAGCATAATCCGTAGATTTTCGGACGACCTTACGGTAGAAAACGCACCGGATTCCCACGAAAGGTTATGGGACATCTTTGCGCCAAAGTAATACGTAAGATCAAGAAAAACCCAAAAATCTTATCATCCCAAATAGTATCAGAGATAAACTGTTATAGGAATTCGCTCCAAAACTTTGGAGAGGGTACTACACAAGGCTGGGCACAATGCGAGAATCGCAAGACGCAAACCCCTCATTTCGAGTATTAACAAGAACGATGTCCTATTCTCCGACGAAAGCCAGGTTAAAATTTTTCGCTCAGACGACCGATATAAAGTATGGAGAAAACCCAATACGGCACTCAATAAAGTGATATGATATTAAATTGTCAATACTTTTGTCCGTGACTGTACGTTTGTGCGCAGTGCATACCGTTCACAATGAATAACATTGAATTTAAATTTAATAGAAACCTGAGTTCTTCAATGCTCAACGGTTGAAAAAATACGCGACCTTTAGTTTCTGTTCCTCGTCCAGTCAATCAGCAAAGCCGAAAATTGTTTGTGATTTATCCAGCGATAGCCCTGGAAGTTTATGGATCCGCACACGACAAAGACGCTTTTTATATATCTCTTGGCTGTGCTTCATATGTCTGCTGGTCATAATATTCCATTTACCAAGAACTCATTGAATCTGTAGGAAAACAATTCCTGTTGTTTGCTCGGGACCATTGTAGGCGACGACCATCATACTCTAGTAGACTTTCGATGACAAATCGTCCTTTTTGAACTATTCATGCCGTAATTCGATTCAAGATGCACCCAAAACCAAACCAAAAATTAAAAATATATCATCGATATGGTCAACTATATGAATATCAGTTTAGTTTGGCCTTCACAAAAGCAATAAAGCCGATTGTTTTTCATAGAATCACAGCTTATTTACGGTAAAATTATATACATTAAAAATCTAGTTGTTGTTTGAAAAACGTCGTTGTCTTAAAGATATTTTAACACAACTTAAATATACGACTTCTAACATGCACCTTACAGTTACAACAACAGACTATTTTATCATGTAGCTCTATATAAAGATATTGAGATATCTTAACCAAAGCTAGCAATTATAAGATTCACAACCCTGCAAAACTTTAACCACATATCTTCATGGCAGCCATGTTCGGTACGTATCGCTTATTTATTCTTCATATTTTTCTTTTAGTTCTTTCATCATTTAAAAATTCTTTGTTACAAATTTTATTGATGAAATGATCCAGACCCTTCGAAAATTTGTCTTTTAGATGGCCCATTGTTATGGCGAAATGGAAAGCTACCCGAGTCTGACTACCGTGCTCTCTGGTAAAGTAAGTAAAGGCGACGGAGGTTGATTCAGGCCCATTAGGTGGCATACAAGGCGGAGATATTGCTAAGGAGCTCGTCTAAGGCTGTCCTGGATCCTCAATCAGGATCCTATTTGGAAAATAAGGTGAATCTATATTGACCCTTTTTGTTGGCATTTCATCTATTTTGTTATTTATTTTTGAGACTTAGCTGTTCATGTTGTTCTAGGGATAGGATCGGTCCTTAGAAACGTGAGCCAGCCCGCGCGGACCAAAGGGAAATTAGCACGTCCGCAGTAGCGCCAGACCTGTCATACTGCATGCCCCAATAGTGCCCACAAGTGCGACAGAAGCCCAATAGCCTTCAGAATAGCGCTTCTTGTTTGCCGTTCGTCAGTCGAACTGACAAGCTGAGTTTTTGACGAATGCTTAAATGTTGTCCACTGTTGGCCTGTGGTAGGATTTGTCCGGTATCGCCGAAACCACAAATGCAAGGCGCGCATAGGAAGGTGCTTCCACCCCCAAGAGCAAGGTTCGTCAGGAGTCTTTAGACTAGGAATTGGCACAGTACCAACAACCGAAATTTCCGGGTAAAGGACCGAAGAACGGGTGACTTCACGCGCAAACAGTGGGACAGTGGGTTTGATGGCAAGTACGCCATGAATCCTGTGAAGGACTTCGGTTTCCGAATAGATGTGCTTACATATCAGGATCGTGGTTGTTACCTATGTTGGGCGTTTCCAATTGGCCGGCTAAGTGGACCAATTTAGAAACTGCGCGCGCTGATGAATTGTAACGGTCGTGTTCACGTCGTGGTGATATTGCATTTGCCTTTATCGGCAACGTCAATATTCCATTATGTCTTAGTTGTGTTCGATATTATCGGATTATTTATTGTGGCAACGCCAGTCTTACGATCCACTGTCCCGAGAGTGAAAATTTAAGAGCGGATCGGATGCCCTTGGTAATGACCTTGGCCTTCATCTGGGGCGTTGACCAAAACATGCAGCTGTGTATATGGGCATGGTATGCGTGTGCCGAAATTTTGGCACCGATGATGTGGCTGCCTAAATGTGATAAGAGGAGTTCGACATTGTCAGCGGTCAACAGAGGGCGTGCCGTCGTCTAGACCAAAATTAAAACACTGTCTTACATTCAAAAATTCAAAGTAGAGCTAACAGAAAAATACCATCTTGGTTAATAGATATAAAATAACAGGCATGCAATAAATTTTAATATATAAAACTGCCTTTAATGCCTTGTTGTACGGTAAATTGTATATTTAGCTACATTGCGTATATCACAAAGCATCAATGTATAAAAAAGTATTAAGGCCAGTTTTAAAAATTCAAGCACACAACGCACGGTGTTAGACTCAAGAGTCTCGCTAAATACTCAAAAATAAGATCGTATGTGAGCAGAAAACGATTTCGATATATTTTTAACGCAAAATACTCGCACATGACCGTTGCAGAGAGATCCTTGCGAATAAAATGCGTGAACAGTAGAGAGAATGATGTGCTGTTTTTGTTGTTGTTTCCTACTCAGCCCGTAAAATATGTGTTTCTTAGGAGTTCAAAAATTCATTTGTTCTTATTTTTTAAGTAAACAGTGAGAATTCGATTTCTGTAGAGGTAAGTAATTAACAAGTGCTTATTAATAACTTGACTCTTCCCTTTCAGTATATTTTTGAATATTATATACGAGTTTGCGGAGAGGCGCACAAGGCGACGCTGCCAAGTGCGCCAAAGGCAACACTTGGGGATTTTAGCGCGTTTGAAGAATTTCTCAAGGAGGAGAAGCCCTTCCAAACTTGAAAAGGAAACTATAAATTAAATAATTTAACTCCACACTTATAAATCTTACGATACTTTCATTAGGAGCTCCTAGCGCCAAATAGTAACGAATGATTTTGCAAGACAAAGGATAAAAAGTGTGTTAGAGGCCTTCTAACCAAATTGGCAATACGTAGTAGGCATTACATTTATAAACTGTATATTTGCAAATAAATATTATTTTTTAATTATCTACAGATGCATTTAAACAGAAGCTTGCGATAAAAAACTGCGATTTCGATCGCGTTACTCGGGTTCGTGGTACGTGCCGATTACAGCAAGCGACAATTGATTTTTTATAATTTTAAGTAATGCAAGTGGCCAATGTGTTGCAAATGCACGAAACAACAAAATCAACTAACTCTACGCACATCATCGGGGCCTTCGCATAAGTAATGAATTCTATTGCAATAAATTAATCGTTATAGCGAAGAGCGCCAGCTTAATATAATTGTAATTTGAAGAGCGAAATTCATGTAATTGCGAAATTCAGAGCATGTGCTTTAAGATAATATTGAGATGCTGCTCTTATCAGTTGCGAGGTCGCTCCAGCTGTTTTGGCTTTTTAGCCAGACATTCTCCTCCGTTGGAAGGCATGGGCGCTCAACAGATTACCTGATGGACAACAGACACAGCTTGTTCGCAGCTCTCCTCGTTTTTCCTTTTCCACGATTAACTCCGTGATTCTCGCCCGTGGCCACCATAGGCGGCAGATTTTCATCCTTCACGAGGACTATGTCATTGACGCATAGGCCTGGTTTCGGAGTACGGCATTTGAGCAGTATTGAAACAGCGTTAAGTATTTTTCACAGTTATTTCGCGTTGCCAGCTATCCAGACGATTGCATTGAAGGTGCGTCACATCAGGCTCAACGAACGATGAGCTGGGACCACCAAACAAGAAATGAGCTGGAGTGAGCACATTTAGATCTGCTGAATCTTCTGAAAGAGCAAACAATGGCCTGGAGTTCATTATCGATACTATGTGGCACATTAGAGTGCGAAGCTCTTCGAAGGTGAGAGCACAAGAGCCAACAGCACGATACAAATGATGCTTCGCTGTCTTCACTGCTGCGAGGGGGTATAAATTTCCAGTAAATGGAGTCAGCCAAGCAAAACTTGTGTACTGAGTATGATTGCGACTGATGAATAGACGCTTTAGCTCCAGAACCTCGTTCTTGGCGCCGACAAAGTTTGCGTTATCCGACCATATGGCCTGCCTCGAGTCGATATAAGCCTCTTAAGGTCATTCAAAAATGAAGCCGTCGACAGATCCTTGACCAGCTCCAGGTGAACCACTTTAGTCGCGAAGCAGACGAAGACTGCCATATAACATTTGACTGGAGCTTTATTTCGTACGTCTGGCTTTATGGTTCACAATAGTCAACACCGGAGAATTCAAAGGCTCGACAAGCATTCAATTGTTCTTTGGAAAGATCAGCAATTATACGCTCTACAAATCGAGGCTTATCACGAAAGCATCTAACACATTTTCCAACAACCTTGGATACGGTCTTCCTTCCACCAATCGGGTCATACTGCAGCGAAGAGTTTTTGAAGCAACCATCAATTCTAAGAATGCCGGAATCATCCAAAAAAGGGTTTAGTGATGCGATACAACTGGACGGTTTAACAACTCTTCTTGATCGCAATGATTTCAACTCTTCTCACAGGTGTGCTCCTTGGACGAGCCTCAGTAAGAGTTGGGTCCCATGTTGCATATCACACACTGTTAGTCAAGGATGCCTGCTTCTGTGTATGAATTTATAAACATATCCGAATATAGGTTGACGTATTTACAAGTGGCAGCAATAAGGACATTTTTTCTGAGTTTAAGTTCTGTCTTTTCTGACAAGCAAGATGCAGGCCAATCCAATTTTTTTCCGACTAGGAATTATGGGCCGTTGAACCACAGTGTCGATTGATCTTATTTACTGGGCGTAGATCCTCTCTAGAGTATATCTTTCGGATTGAGTGATGTAGGGTCGTAGCGCCATTCCATGCAATCGGTTAGCTTTTGAACTGCTGTGACGCGATTAGCTACAAAAATACATTGAGCTTGCAGGGCTCGGTCCTTATCCAGGAAAGGCATACAGAAGAATCCGACCAAGAGTAGAATTTTCCATCGAAGAGATTTATTTTAGATATCTCCATCATGTGTTAAGATAATAACACGGCACCACAGAGCTCTAGCTTTGGAACTGTGATTGTTTTCAGAGGTGTTACACGTGATTTGAGGCACAACAGCTAAAACTGGATGATGGTCGTCGAGAAAGGACGTAGACACAGCCCCCATATGCTTCGATGCTTGCGTCGCAGAAACCGTGAACTTTTTACTTTGCTGAAACTGTGCCTTCTCAAAGCTGCAGCAAAGCTTATGCCAAGCTGCTGCAAAAAGATTTTAGCCTTGGCGATTACCGGCCCTAAAAGTCCTACAAACGAGCTATAGTCGGCAGTATTGATTTTTTGGATGGTTTGGATCTCTGCTGAATGGACGGAAAAGAAAACAGCGACCGATCCAACGCTGAGTCCTAAGAGTCTAAGAGTTTTGGTGATGTCGCTACCATCGTCAAACTTAAGAGAAGATTCTCTGTATTCTTCGGGTAACCCTTCTAGTACAGCAGCATTGGTTTAGCACCACTTTCGCAACTTGAAGCCCCCACTTGCCAATATTCAAGCGGTCTGATTAAGAATTTCCTTTGCTTCTTGAATTGAATCACCCCCTGAAATGAGGTCGTCAACGTAGAAGTCTCGCCGAGATTGGATCCGAGATCCAATTGGAAAATTAGTTTCCTCATCCATAGGCAGCTGATGCATAACACGGACAGAGAGGAATTAAGCTGGCTTTGTTCCGTATGTAACTTTATCCAGCTTAAAAATCTTAACATCCTGTTTTGGCGAGTCTCGCTATAGAAAGCATTGGAGAACATTGTCCTGTGCTGAAACGCGAACGCATCGATACATTTTTCGAATATCGCTTGTTAGATATGAAACAGGGAGCTTTGAATACAAGTCCTTTAAAAAACTGAATATTGAATCTTCAGGCCTGGAGGATTTTGAAGTTTGCGTTTCAAGGTCAGGAACCGACGAAAAGCTTATTGGTATGACGTCCCCAGACGTCCATTCAAAACTTCGCCTGAAGGGTAACCGAACTGAATATTGGCCACTAGCCATTTTGATATGAGTCCTTACGAAATATTCTTCACAATTATTTTTTTCCTTTGAAGTGGTATGTGTAATTTCCAAGCACGATTCTATCTCCCAAAATCGTCGCACCAATTCATCAGCACGTTCTTCAGAACTTGACTCGTGCTTACCCGCAGTATGCTTTGCCATCAAAATGGAGCCGCTTGCAGAAACAACCCAAGCCGTGTTTGTTGAAGACACGGTAGCTCTGAGAAAACCCTTATCTGGGCGACGTTGTGAAGATCGTAAAGCAGGCTAGCGCCAAGCGGCAAGTCACGTGTTGACGTTTAAAGAAAGACGAATATGCAAGTTTTATGTTATCGGGAATGTTACAATTCATCGGGTTAATAGTAAAACTGGGTTGACAATCAGTTATGTTAGGTGCTACCAGACCTGTGAAGCATGTTCAGTATTCAGAGACTTGAGACTGTATTGTGATAGTGACTAGAGACTAGAGACAATGGCTGAGGACTTGTGCTTCTTTAGCTGAAGCTGTTGAGCAAGGCGCGACGTTATAAGTAAAATCTGAGAACCGGAATCCTTAAGGATAAGACAAGTTGTCAAGGTGCCGGAGCGATTTTTAAAGAAGACCATAGCAGTAGCCAGGAGAACAACATCACTACTGAAGTACCGAGTAACAAGAGTGGGGGTAGATGGCAGCGACTTAGCGAAAGAGTTATGGGCTACCGACAATGAATCAGCAGGCGCAGTCAACTGACCGGACGGGATAACAGAATTATTATTATTTAAATGCAGCAGGGAATGATGTTTCGCCCCGCAGGTCTGACAACATCCAGAGCTGCATAATTGCAATTGATGACCTTTCTTTAGGCAATTCAAGCACAATGCAAGTTATTTTGCCTCCCTAAGCAGTAATGCAGAGGTCTAATTTCCAAATAGGGAACAATTACATACACCATGACCAGGGCTGTCACAAAAAACGCAGACGGGGGAGTCGTGGTTAGTGGCGAGAAATGACGATCTACTTGTGTTAATTGATTTGGTTTTTGGCACCTGATGGCTAGGGGCATAGCTTTCCATAGCAAAATTTACGGCTGGTAATAAGTTGACGATCGACGAATCCTCTAGCCGTTCTGCCCAATTAGCTTGTGATGTTGGGTCCACTTAATCTGCACAATGAATTAGAATCGTTGATAGAAAGCTTGTGCGAAACTAGCTGGGTAACTAACAAGAGTGATCACTAGTACATGCAGACCATTCAAAAAACAATAGCTTCGGCGAACGCAAATGTCAAGCTCTTTAACGGAGCAACAGCAATAGCTTGTACATAGGTAACGCACTAATGAGCAAAAAATCTTAAGGGACCGAGAGAGTAGGCAAGGCGAAGGCGATCGCTTATATGTATATAAACTGCCCAAAACGAGATGACAGGTGGCGATATTTTAAGATTATTGCTTTAATGTAAAGCGAATAACGTTCAACAACAAAGATCACCAAAATTTTCTATTGAGCTTTTTCAATAGCTTTCACAAATATAAATAATGAACCATATTTTATTTCTTGTGTTCCATTTTTTTTGTATATTTATTATAACTTCAGAAAAGCAGCAGACCCGAATTGGTGGGTTCTCATACCCACTTAGCTAACTCGATGCGCAGCATATTGCTACCGGCTTAAAACAAATATTTTTGTAAAAAATATTTTGTATTAAAAACGTATCACAGAAAATATTTTATTAGACTCGTTAGAAAAATATTACATCAAACTTTGACTGCCACAAACTTGCAAGAGTCTTGTCGGGTAAAGTCTCGCATTTTACTGGTTTGCGATATCATTTCATTTCAGAGAGAGTTCTCAGTTGAGAGTGATTGACGTGTTTTACTTGTGCTCCAAGATTTTTATATATCTTTGCGCTTTTATCTTGCTTTTTATTTCAAAATTTTGCATTTTTCGGTGCTTTATTTAAAAAGCTTTTATAAACTGTGCAAAGTGTTATCTGTTGTGCAGCGTAAGTCTGTTAATTATTG